AGGAAATTATAGCCTCCGGACCAGTTATCGTATCTATTAGATATGTGTAGAAACCTAGGTAGCTGGAAAAAGACACTAATTTAGAACTTCTTTTGGAGAAGTTTTGCTTCTTTGTACCTGTGGGGAATTATTTAAGACGAGCTGTTGCCCGCGACTTCAACATACAAATTATAACAATTACAAAAAGCTACGTATCCCCCGGGAACCGGACATTTCTCGGGGATGAAGCTTATCCCATGTGTACTCCAGACTTTGTTTTATATCTGTGCCAAATTTCAATAAAATATGTTGCACCGTTGCAGAATGATCGAGTAAACATTAAAAAACTAAATTAATGAATCCCACGGGAACCGTAACTATTCCAGGGATAAAAAGTAGCCTATGTGTTCTTCCAGACTATGCTCTAAACCTGTGCCAGATTTCATGGAGATCCGTTCAGCCGTTTAGGCTGCAAACGCTAACAAACATCCATCCATCCATCTAAACTTTCGCATTTATAATATTAGTAAGATGGACCCCTGACGGGTCCGAAACTAGTCGGTGCCGTCACCGGAAAAATATACACGAGTTGTAGCCTTTTAATAATCTTTTAATATAATAAATGCGAAAAGTTTAGACAGATGGATGTTTGAGTTTGTAGCCTAAACGGCTGAACTGGTCTCGATCAAATTTGGCATAGATATAGAACATAGCCTTCAAGGCTACTTTTTTTTTAATTCCACGCGATCGGGATCGCGGGCGAATACTATTTAGTTTACTGGTTAAAAGTTATCTTCAATATACTATTTGTCTACGTAATTTGTAAATATATTTGTCTTTTTGTGAGTTTGTCTCGTAGCAAAAGGAACAAGGCAATGCCAGTGTGTGCTCACCTAAGTTGTGTAACATCAGGTCTGTGCAGGGCGCCGGGGCAGCTGCAGATAGCGTTGACTAGCTTCAGCCCCTGGGCGCGCCGCACTTGCTGCAGGAACAGGTTCATGTCGGCGCTGCTCTCGAATGTGAAGGCGGCGAGATCCCGCGCGGGCACTGTCGCTTCCAAATAACGTGCGAACTTCGCCTCCGTGAAGTTTATCTGGATCGTTTATTAGTATATTATACTAGCTGTTGCCCGCGACTTCGCGTGGAATTAAAGTAATAGTAAAAAAACATAGCCTCTAGTACAAATAAAGATTTTTAATGCTAAAAGAGTTTTTGACATAGGCCCTTTTTGACTTATTTCAACACCTACAAAAATACAAATCTTTCCTCTTTGTACTGTTAGTAAAGATGTTAATCGCACGTGATGAGACAAGTTATAACGTATTTGTGCTTGTTTACTATTTAATGGTTTAGAAACATGCACATTTTCACATTATTTTATATTTACACTAGCTGTTCCCGTGCGGCTTCATTCACCATAAATTATGAAAAATTTATTCTATTCTTTACGTTTGTCAAATCAATAGCAAATGTCAAAATGACATGACATGACAAACCTTAGCGATCTTTCTTGATGTTGGCAGCAACTTATGGTCTCTCCCGCATTAGGGTTTTTATCCAAAATATTTACCCCCAAAATTTAATAGCGTGAAAATATAGCCTAAAGCGTGACGTAAGTGTTGGACTTTTTATTAAAAAAAGAATTATTCAAAAATATGCTGTAATTGCTGACATCTTAGGTAACAAAGAAGTGTGTTTACGCTTTATTATAATAGTATAGATAAATACTTACTTCTAACATCATTGGTTCATATACAGGTTTTGAGAACATTTGTTTGTTTTCTCTTAGCCACATAACTGCTTTATAACAATCCTCGCTGTAAGATCTCAGTACTTCTAAACGCTTAGCATCTACATTCTCTAAGTTATTTATTCTGTAAAAAAAATGTAATTTAATGTTAATATTAGAAATGAAATTTTTTTTTATAATACAAGAAGGCAAACGAGGAAGAGGTCACATAAATTCTAAGAAAAGACTGCCCGTAGACAGGCGCAATTGCAGATGTCTACCCTTAATCGACGGAGTAGACGCACATAAAGAGGATATATCCCCTTCCTATGCGTCTCCTCCGCCGTCAAATCCACTTTTCCTACCCATCCTTTCGTCTTAAGAAAAGGGTAGAAAGAAAAAGGGACCAAAATTAGACCTAAAGTTTAGATGGATGTTAAGATTGTAACCTAAACTGAATGGATCTTGATGAAATTTATCATAAACTAGCTGTTCCCGTGCGGCTTCATCCGCAATTATAAAAGCTTTATTTTATTTCTATTGTGAAATTTTTAATCGCAAATCTCAAAATTCAAATAGGAATGGCAACCTTGCTTCCTTAATGTTGGCAGCTTGTAGTTTAAGGTCCCTTTCCCACATTAAAAGTATTTTTCCAATTTACTTGCCCTCCAAGTTTAAAAGCGTGAAAATATATAGCCTAAAACGTGTCGTAAATGTAGGGCTTATTACTAAAGAAAGAATTATTAAAAAATATACTGATTGCTGACATCCTATGCTACAAAGTAGTGTGTGTTTACGCTTTATTATATTAGTATAAATGTAGTCTGGAACACATAGGCTATTAACTTATTTAATTCTACGCGGAAAGTCGCGGGTGAAAGCTAGTAAAAAAAATGACTAAAGTCCTCATATAACTCAGTTCTTACAGTTTTAAACATTGGTAGTATAAACTATTTAGTTAAAATTTCGTGTATTTATAACCTATATGTATAATTTAACCTATATGTATTATTATGTCGGTTTATATAGTTTTATATGCATTTCAAAAAGAATAAAAACTTACTTGTTTTGGAACAGTCTGATTTGTGGTTTAATATTATTGTCAAGGTCATATTGTAGTTCTAATTTCTGTTTCTTGAATCTTTCTATTGTAGCATTGTTGGCAGCTATCGGTTTTTGTAACTCTGCTAGTTCCATTTTTATTTGAGTCTCTGAAAGTGTTTATTGTACAAATTTAAAATAAAATGTAATTAATCAGGCATTTCTCATTTACCTAATCAGTCAGAATCCAAAACCCAGTAGACTTCTAATATTTTTTACTTAAAAACTATATGAACACTATTTATAAACAGTTTTTTTCTGATATTTTCTTTAATCTAGGGTTATAGAAATTACTTAAGTTCCTTATAATATCAATAATTTTCATAGGTTATTTTACATTTATATGCGTAATTATAAAATATGCTGAGAATTTAAGCACCATTGCCTTAAGCATAATATAACAATTTTCTATTTAACTTCACAAAGAGTATATATATAAAAAAACTAGTTTTCGCCCGCGACTCCGCGTGGAACAAAAAAACAATAGTGAGTATTTATGTGTTCTTCCAGACTATACTCTACATCTATACCAAATTTCATCGAAATCCGTTCAGCCTAAGCTACAAACTCTAACAAACATCCATCTAGACCTTCGCATTGATATTAATACTAGCTTTCGCCCGCGACTCCGTCCGCGTGGAATTAAAAAAAAAAATGAGTAGTCTATGTGTTCTTCCAGACTATCCTCTACATCTATAGCAAATTTCATCGAAATCCGTTCAGTCGTTTAGGCTACAAACTCTAACAAACATCCATCTAAACTTTCGCATTTATAATATTAGTATGAAGATTACCATCGCCGATTTTTTCTATTAACATTTTCTTATCGTTCCTTAGTTTTTCCAATTTAGCATTAGCTTCAAGTAATTCTCTTTCTTTATTCTGTTGTCTGTCCAATTTCTCTTGCAGAGAAGCTTCTAGATCTTTCAATTGGTATTCCTGTTGTCGCGCTGAACTGATCGCTTCTTTTATATTATCTTTTAAGGAATGGACTTCACGATTCTGTAAAAAGAATGTTTACGATTTCATTCACATGGAATTAAAAAAAGGAAAAATATACCTTATTTCACTCAGTGATAACATCATCAACACAACAGCTTTTTGATGGTAATGGTAATAACATTTTTTTTAAATCGACGCAGTAATTTATGAGTTATTACTGAATGTTATTTTCGTGTTTTAGTACGTTTTTTATAATTCAAAAACTACTGGAGTGTTTAATTTTGTAAAAAGTTGAACCAAAGAGCAGCTATGTCGCAATAAATAAAAAAAAAAGTATCAAATAAGCCGAGTTGTAAATGGTAATGTAATCTGTGTACATACATAAAAAATCAATCAAATGTAAATTTTTCATTGACATGCATATAAAAACATAAACATGACTTTTTTAAATTATGATTTATCTGAATGCTGTTGGTGTTATCCTTATAAATAAAAAATATAACAAACTAGTTATTGCTCGCGACTTCGTCCGCGTGAAATTAAAGTTATAAAAAAATATAGCCTACATTCTCACAGATAAATTACCTTTCTAATGATTAAAGAATTTTTGAAATAAGTTCAGTAATTTTTACATGAATCAAATACATACAAAAGACCAAATCTTTCCTCTTTATAATATTAGTACAAATAAAAAAAAAGATTTCTACTTACAGTAGCTAATTTCTCCTGTTCCAATTTACTTATTCCCACTTTAGCTTTATCAATGATTTTTTCCAATGGTTCCATTTTCCTTTTATGTGTATTAACAAGTTTCACAGCTTCTTTCTTATCTCTTTCACATTCTATTACTCTTTCTCTAAGAGTTTGATACTCTACCCAAAGTTTCTTTTTTTCACAAATCTCTATCTGCTTCTCTATCTCTTTCCTTTGATGCATACCATCTATTATCGTTTTTAATCTGTAAATTATTATATGTACATTTTACTGAAAAAAACCGGGATATAGTGTTTATTTTTTTAAATAACATAAGTTGGCAAACGAGCAAGCGGCCACCTGAATCCGCCAAAATGGCGAAGCGACCGCTGCCCATAGACATCCGCAATTGCAGATGCGTTGCGCCTACCCTAATCCGACGGAGGAGGAGACGCACATAAAGAGGATATTTCTCTTTCCTATGCATCTCCTCCAATGTCAAATCCACTTCCCCATCCCATCCTCTCCTTATAAAAAAAGGGTGGTAAAGATAAAGGGACTTAAATTAGGCCTCCGGCAGCAATCTTCATCTTCCTCCTTACCTACTTCTGTAGCGGTGCAACAGGTTTTTGTCCTCGACATAACTCTATCATCCGTCATCTCATCACTCCCTTCTTCATGTCACCTTTCACACAATCCATCTTTTTCTATGTCTACCTCTACCAGTGTACAGTCATAACTACCATTCTTGTTATATGCAATTCATCCCTCCGGAATGGTTTACCACAATAAACTACTACATTCCCTTTGAGTTAGCTAGATCTTACTAACGTAAATGTGAAAGTTTTGATAGATGGTTGTTTGGATTTTGTAGCAACTGCTAAATGGATCTTGACGAAATTTGGTATAGACGTAGACGATAATCTAGAACACAGGCTTACTCAATTATGTTTTTTAATTCCATGCAGACGAAGTCGCGGGCGAAAACTAGTATTTTATATAGATGTTAATTATAACGTATTTCCGAAATGGTTAACCGATTTTACGATATGTAACATAGATGCAGAACAGTTCCTAAAGTGATAATGCCTTTAGTTGGCGGTAAAATGCACAAATAGGGTGTCCACAATATAAACTTTCTAGCAAAATGAGTTTTCCTTTAATGTCATTGTAATGAATATTGACACAAGACTGATATTATAGATGTTTTTTTAAGAGAAAAAAATGTGATACACTACACAAATGTTATACAATTTTACTTTAAGAATCGCTACTTTAGAACATGCTAGAATAACATACAGACTACGAATACAGTTTTTTTAATTCTGTGCGGACTAAATCATTTAATGGTTTAACCAAGGGCGGATCCGGGTTTGGCGCCGGGGGGGAGGTTTACATAGTCGTGGTCAAGTCAAGCACTTGACAAAATATGTAAATATATTTTGTCAAGCTCTTGACCAACCAACTCAGGGGGGGATCATGACCCGCATGACCTCCCTGGATCTGCAGTTGGTTTTAACATACCTCTCATTAAGCCGTATCTGTTCTTGTAACAATTGGGCATTATTCTGTACTTTAGTTGATAGTCCTCTATGTTTATTTCTGCATTCTATTAACTCGTCAAGTTGTGCCACACTCTCAAGTCCCCCGACTGCGGACAATGTGCTGCGCAACAACTCTTGTGGATTCATCTTAGAGAAATCCTGTACTCTATCTTGAGGTAGTAATTGACAGAGATTGTCCACCTGGTATGTTAAATAATAATTGTTTTAGATTTATTATTCCATACTTATGTACTATATCCTAATAAAAACCTTTTTTTTTTAAAATTACAAGGTGACAAACAATTGAACAACCACCCGAAACCAAAATGGCAAAGTGACCGCTAACCATAGATATCCACAAATGCAGAACAAATAAGCGACCAGCCGAAACCAAAATGGCAAAGTGACCGCTAACCATAGATATCCAAAAATGCAGATGTCTTCCCTACCCTTAATTGGCAAGGGTGACAAACATAAAACGGATAATCCCTTTCTTATGGGTCACCTCCACTGTCAAATCTACTTTTCTTTCCCATCCTTTCCTCTTAAGAAAAGGGTAGGAAGGGATAGGGCCTTATAATGGAAAAAATTTGGATGTATCTTCAAAATAAACCTTATGTTTGTATGTTGATGAAATCCGCTAAAGAAGTGCCATAGACAAGAAACTGAAGAGAATTGAACTGATTAAATGGCACAGATCTCTAATTTTACTACAGTAGAACCTCGATAAGTTAAAATTGAAGGAAAACACAAAACATATTAAGTTATAGAGGTTTTAAGTTATCAATGGTCTTTAATGTAGAGGTTTTGGGCTCTAATGGAAACGGAACATATTATTTTTTTTTAAGTTATAGAGGTTATTAAGTTACCAAGGTTTGAGTTATCGAGGTTCTACTGTATTTTATTGAAAGTAAATGTTAGTATTATAAAAATATTTGATTCTGTTTTCTTTTAAATCTACTAATTTAGAAAATTACTAGACAATTTGAATTTGGCTATTTAATGGCTTTTGCTTGTGAATTTGTGTATGTAAAAAAAACTTTTTTTAGCTAGCTAGATATAGCTGATTTTTTGTATTAGTAATAAATATAGTGCGTTTTGAATTATCTCCATAATGGCTGGTTTTGACGGGACTTTCACTGCTGCACACTGAATGTATACAAGATTATTACAGGCAACATTTTATTTTTTTATAGTCTGTCTTAGTGTAGTCTTTTACAATTTACCTGTATATTTAAAGATTCAATTAGCTCCAGTACTTGTTTCTCTCTAACAGTTTTATGATCTATCGCCCAAGTAGAAACATCTCTGAGGTTAAAGTTTCTTGTTATTATAACATTTCTTTCACCCATATTTCTGTAGAGTTCTATCTCTATTGTAGATTCTTCACATCCACTTCTTACAAACTCTGATATCTGAAAACAAGAGGAGATTTTGTTAACCTTCTTAATTTGCAGGTTAAATCATTGAATCATTGCTATATTCCATTATCAAAGTTTATATGTAAATTAAAACTTGATGTTTCTACAGTTAAGGAAAATGTAGAGATGCAAACATATTCAAAGAAATTCTAACATAAGCGAAGTCAACTCACATTGGAATAGTGTGGACCAACGCCTAGGTATTTTTTTTGTCAACGCCGTCTCTGTTCTTCTTGCGTAGCAAGAAATTTTATTACACTAAATTTGCCGACTTGTTCTGTTTTTATAATTTTTATCCTTCGGCATTGATTGTTTATACAATTCTATTTACCTATTGTAGTCTTTATACCTGTTTGTTTCTCTACTTCTATTTGTTACATTACATTACACATTTCATTAATTTTCATATAACCAACGCCTAGTTAACCCTAATTTAGTACAGACTAGGAGATATTTAGTAGGTACATATAGTATTCATTTGAATAGGAAATGATATAAAATTATCGGTTGGGCTACAAACCTTTTTAGCACGTCCAATAACACTGGTTTTTCCACAAAGACCCAAAACTATTGCACAAACAAAAGTCGATTTTCCAGTTCCGTTGGGTCCGATTATCAAATTTAATGATTGACTTGGATATAATACTACTTGTTTGTATGTCCTGGAATAAATATGTTGATACATATATTACAAAAGGTCAAGAAACAAGTAAAGTACGTATTGGCGCGCCAAAATTTACTTACACAAAATTCTCAAGAGCTATCCGGTAAATGCAACCGGCTTTTACACCTTCGTTATTGAATACTTTTGACATTGTTAGAAATTTAAACGACGTTAACTATAAAATACTCAAAATGTTGTGTTCTTTTTGTTGATGAATTTAGAATAAAACATTATTTATGCACAAATATTGTTTAAAAAACCTTAACTCGTCGCTACCTGTCACATTCAACTTGACGTCAATTTGAATGGCAGTGTTTTCAGTTTAGGACATATCCTACAGATTAAAATAATTGAAAATTTTGAAATGTCGAATAATAAAATACGTTTGTTTTGCAAAATATAGGTATCTCTCATTAAATGCTTGGTTTTTTTGTATGGTACTCAACTAAAAGACCACATAAATTCGTTTATTCTAACGAAAAAGTGAGTTAATAAACTACCGATGTTTGTATGTTTTATTAAAAATGGTAACCATAAGAATCAATCGACGAATCGTAGCGAAGTATAGAAAGCAGCCAAACAAACCGAATCCGGCCGATGTGCTTGTCGCTCCCTTGTAAGCGAAGTTGACCGCCGTTTTAGTTTTTCAATTCTATGTTTTGTGTATGAAAATTATGACAAAAACTAATTTTCATGAATGAATACGTGACAAAATGTTTCAAAATAATATTCAATAGCAACGTATGCAGTTATTAAAGTGATATTTCATCGCGATACGATATTTTCTACCCCTGTTTCGATTAATGGAGGGTATTCTTGTTTATAAATATTGATTTGTTGCATATGATATTTTGAACTGTTACTATTGTGATTGTATAGTGAAATGTAGGCAGATGATTGTGTGTAACGAGGTATTTAACGGCAATGCAACAGTTGGATACTAGCAGTGGTTCCACCATAATGAACTGCGAGAGGTGATTACGATCGTGTTTTTTGTGTTTTATTGTGTTTGATAAGTGTTTTTTGACAATGGAAGGAACAACGGAAAAGGATTGCTCTCCTTTATGGAATCTGTACCAGCAAATCGTATCAGATATGAAGGTAAATATTCCTAACTGCAGTTTCTCAAATGATAAATTATTTTCTACTTTTCATTTAGGTTTTAAATTTACCATGTACGTCGAATTTATAGCGTAAGCATTTTACATGTTATAAATATGAAATTAACGAAACGTTATAATACTTTTAATAAGTTATTTATCATACTAGTTTGTGTTTAATTTATAATTTCTTCATTGCTGACGAAAATACGATTGTTTCACTTAGTGCATTTATTGTTCAATTAAAATATCTCATTATTCTATTTATTAAATTAAATTATGTAACTTATAAGTTGTATGGAGCATTTTGAAGTAAGATTAAAAAAGCAAATATTTTTTTAAGCACATTATTTTAACTGTTTTAAATGACATAATAGAGTTCTTGTTACATCCTATAGTTTTTTTCTGAAACATATAGATCTAATCTTTTTTACTATTTAGTTTTTTAACTAATGGTTTATAATTTTAATGTTTAAAGAGTGAATTATTGTAAATTACCTCAAAGGTGATCAATTTAAAAAAAAACGAACTGTTATTGAGTACTTGTTAAATATTTTTAATTTATCTGTTTTTTGTTTTTTGTCATTTTTTGCACATTTAGTTTAAGGTCAGGTTGAACCTGATAGAGTACTTAAAGCATATGGGGTAAAATCGGCAATATTCAACTGATGAGTGCAAATTACAACTGATGAGTGCATGAACAAGAATATGAATTTTTATTTAATTTTTATAAGCTTCTATATTCTTTGACAATTTATAGTTGTTACTTCTTAATTTAATGGTAAATGGGAATAAATAGAGATGAGGATTATCTAATTTTTTAGAATCATGGTAACATGATGCATGGGTGGCGGTAGAGTGATTGAGTGGGCAACCCCTAGAGATTTCAAAAATCTTAAATAGATATGAAACTATAAATATAACTATTTTACTGATCAAGATCATCTATTGGCATCATCATCACCAGCTCAGTATACATCCCCACCGAGGGGCTTGGAGCCTACCCTAAAGTAAGGGGTGACTAGGCCATAGTCAACCACTCTACTGGCATTGTACCATAAAGTATGTTGCATCTAATATTATTGATGTGAGAGTTTGGATGGATGGAAAAATGTTTGTTAGGATCTCCAGCTCTGGTCAACAGATATTAATAAAATTTGGTACCAATATTGAACATTCTAGAGGAACATATAGGATACATACTATTATTTTTTTATTATTGAAATATTCACATATTACATGTGATGTCTGTTTTGTTAAAAAGACTGATAATGTATTGGCTAAGGAAATATATGGGAAGGTTTTCTGTTATTATAAACTATTGCTAGATACATAGCCATAATAAAATAGTTTTATTTATTTTGTCTATGCCAGGGGTGGCGAACATTTATGTATCAAAGTGCCATTTAAAAAAAAAATGTTTAATGCGGTCTCAGACATGCTATCGAATAATTTTCACTATTTATAACGTCAAATAATATTATAACGTCAATTCCAAGGTACACCTTCCATAATTTATTCGTAGTGTTTTTATGATTATCGACGTGCTCAATATATTGTGACGTGTACCATGCCGTCATACAATACGACGGCCACTACGCTTAAAAACTACGCTGTTAAACACATCTTTTATTTTTTTTAAATACTGGTAGTTTGTGGTTTCATCTGAGTTAACACATATAGTTCTTTTTAAGCTGCACAACAAAGGTACACTGTAAAATTTAATTGACAGTTGAACTGTATTAAGTGTTCTTTGTCCGTGATTCGGTTTTCGAGGAATTAAAAATTAAATAGAGTAGTCTATGTTTTCTGCCAGATCATTTTTTACATTTGTGCCAAATTTCATAGAGATATGTTAATCCGTTTTGAAGACAAGCGGTAACAAATGTTCATAAAAACTTTCGCGTTTATAACATTAGTATGATATGAGATCGTATTAACTTATAATTGTTAGTATCTTACTTTTTACTGCAATTGAATTTAATTGTTTAATACAATAGTTTGTTCAGTTGAAACATTGAACACCTTAACTCTTAAATACCTGAAGTTTTAAATTTGATACCGGGGTTATAAATCACTACAATCGATTTTACTTTAATACTAGCTCTTGCTCTCGACTTCGTCTGCGTAATAATAAAAAAAAACAAAAATGAGTGGCCTATGTATTCTTCCAGACCAACTTCTACATCTGTGCCAAATTTCATCGAGATCCGTTCAACAGTTTAGGCTATAAACTCTAACAAACATCCATCTTCAAGTTAGAAAACAAAATAGAGGATATCACGAAAATGTATAAAATATCGTTTTGTTTTTTTTTCTATTTTTCCCCTTCAGTAAAAAACACAGTAAAGGGTACACTTATATCATAATTATCATATATTTTGTAATTCGATTTAAAAATCAGGCCCTTAAGGGTTTAATAATTAATGTATTATTAATATGAGCGTCACAACCATGTTATGCTTTAATAAAATATAGTCTTTATTACCTCTTATGTTTTCTTCCAATTTGCACCGCATACCTTACCAATATGGCCGTCGTGTCGTCGAGCTAATGCAACACCCTTATTTTGACATCCGACTACTATCCGATTATTAACATAACAAGCACAATTACGACATTTTAAAACCATGACATAAATATTTTAAATAATGTTTTGGATCACAATTACAAAGCTTATATCGTTATTTCAAATTATGACAAATGGTATTGATTTATAGCACAGACTAATAATCTTCCAAGAATACAGAATACGTCAAAGCAGTTAAAAAGCTAACATTAAATACACGAAAATTAACAATAAAACCAGTATTATAAATGCAATAATGGATGGATGGATGTCTATAAGAGTTTGTAACTTAAACTGCTGAACGGATCTTGACGAAGACATAGATGTAGAACATATTCTGGAAGGACACAGGCTTGCCTTTGTTTTTTTAATTTCATGACGGAGTCACGGGCGAGAGCTAGTCGTCTATACTTCTATACTGATATTATAAAGGGGAAAGATATGTATTTTTGTATGTTTTGAAATAACTCAAAAACTACTAGGCCGATTTTAAAAATTCTTTAACCGTTAGAAAGGTAATTTATCCGTGAGTGACAGGCTATATTTTTTATTATTTTTGATACATCGCGGTCGAAGTCGCGAGCAACAGCTAGTTGATAATAATTGTAAATCAACGCTCACCGAAGTCGTGCATTAAAATGTTTATATATTTGATTGTTCATATTTAAAATAGTTGATTGTTTTCAATGTGGCGGACGATACGGGGCTGTCATCAGATCATCCATTTAGTAGCATATTGCCATAATAAATATTCAATAGAAGCATCAGAATGCTGAATAACAATAGACGATTAACACATTCCTAGCGTGTTACAATTGCTAATTGGATACCTGTCTAAACATTGATCAGATTTATTTATGTTGATATCTGATTCTGTGCGTCGTTAGAGTACAATGTATGTAAAAGTGAGTCTCGTAAAGACAGATTTACACTAATAGTGTTAAGAATTCACTTGAATTATCAAATAGTTGGAGTCAAAACGTAGGTACTGGTAGTCGATTTGTTCCATTCTGTACCAGTTGTTGAAACGACAAATCTAAGATGGATGGATTTTCTTTCGTTACTTTTATTTATACGTTTCGTTTACTTTTCTTTATTACTTTTTAAGATCTACAAATCCTTACATCATGTTTATATACCTCTAACTGTTTAGGCAGCGTAAGCCGAGAAAAGTTAAAATATAGTAATTTTTAACACCGGGGTCCAGAAGTACGCTGTTTATTAATAGTTCCTCAGTATTAGTAATAATAAAATATAGCCTATGTTACTCACAGATAAATTACCTTTCTAACGGTGAAGGAATTTTTAAAATTGACCCAGTAGTTTTTGAGTTACTTCAATATATACAAAAATAAAATTTTTTCCTTTTTTTTTATAACATAAGGTGGCAAACGAGCAAGCGGCCACCTGAATCCGCCAAAATGGCGAAGCGACCGCTGCCCATAGACATCCGCGATCGCAGATGCGTTTCCTACCCTTATCCGACGGAGGAGGAGACGCACATAAAGAGGATAATGCCCCTTCCTATGCATCTCCTCCACAATCAAATCCACTTCCCCTTTCCATCCTCTCCTTATAAGAAAAGGGTGGTAAAGAGAGAGGGACATAAATTAGGCCTCCGGCACCACACTCATCAAACGAAACTCGGAATTGCTTGTAAAATTACCATATCAATACTAAGAGTATATTTATTTCAGTTTATTTATAAATCTGATTCAAGAATGACATATTTAATTATGATTCAAGCACGTCTCAACACTTGGTAATTTACATGAGGCCGTAAAGGATGACGGATCTTCAATACTGTGTTGCACTGCTTAATATTCCACATCGGATGAAACTGCGTAAATGTAGATTAGAATCCCCAGGTACGGGACCGCTCTGAATAAATGCATTGGAAACCAGGGATTTTCAAACGTTTTCCTTTACAGTTTAGTAACTGGTTCTCGCAACTTTTCCCGCGTTAAATTATAAGTAAAATAGTAAAAATATAGTCTATATTGCTCAATAACATAGCTTTTAAATGATGGTAATCAGTCAAGTGTTTCTTGAGTTATTTCAAAATGTACAAAAACCCAAATCTTTCCTCTTTATGGTATTAGTATTTATCTGTTACTCGCGATTTGTCTATGTGAAATTTTAACCTATGTTACAAAGCGATAATTTAGCTTTTTAATGGTGAACGAATTGTTGTAATCGGCCCAGTAGTTTTTAAGTTATATCAATACATACAAAAATACAAATCTTTCCTCTTTATAATATTATTATAGATATATAGATGGGAGTAGCCCCAGTAGTAGAGATGGTAAGGAGTAAAAGGTTAGCATGGTATGGGCATGTTATAAGGAGGGATGAATCGCATGTTACAAGGAAAACGTTAGTTATGAGTGTGGAAGGGTACATCGGTAAAGGTAGACCTAGAAAGAGACGGA